GGGTGATGCAGGTCCTTTCTGTAATTCCCATCGCTGGGGTTCAGGAAGCCCATGGATTATGGTGATTTTGCCACCAGCAGCTTGAGGCTGGGAGTCTTCCTTGGGAACTAGCATGAACACCTCACCCTCTGATGAAACCTGTGTTCTAGACTAGGATGACTTATTCTCCAAAAACTTCGTAAGCACTTGAGAAGAATGTTTTTCCACTGTTGGATGGAATGTTCTGTATGTCTGTTAGGTCTGTTATAAAGTATAGTTCAAGTCCAATGTTTCCCTATTGATTATCTGTCAAGATATTTCTGTCAAGATGATTGTTGAATGTATGACATATATATATATATTACTGTATTATGGTCTATCTCTCACTTCTGCTCTATGGATATATTTTTTAAATATTTGTTTATTTGAAAGGCAGAGTTACAGGGAAAGAGAGAGAGGAAGAGATATAGAGAGATTTTCTATCTGCTGGTTCAATCTCCAAATGGCTGTAGCAGCCAGGGTTAGGCCAGGCTGAAGCCAGGAGCAAGCCTGGAACTTCTTCCAGATCTCCCATGTGGGTACAGGGCCCAAGTACTTGGGCCATCCTCTGCTGTTTCCCGAGACACATTAGCTGGCACTGGATTAGCAGTGAGCAACTGGGACATGAACTGGAGCCCATATGGGATGCCGGCATTGCAGGGGGTGCCTTTGCCTGCTACTCCACAAGGCCCGCCCCTGAAGACACTTTTGAAAGCAGTGATAACAGCCATTTAGTCCATCCCTTAAAGAATTGAGAGTCCTAGGAATGTGATTAATGGAATCTTTTTTAATGTATATATTAGATGCTGAAAAATGGGTCTTCTTTAAGGTTTTTTTTTAATATTAGGAATCAAAAAGAAACCAAAAAGAGTCGAGTTGCTACTGTAAGATGGGTGCCGTCCATATGGGTCCCATAGAAACTCTAGCAGAATTGCCCTTTTTGATGAGAGGAGTGAGCAGGAGCATTTTTGTTGTAAAGAATGACTCTTTTGAAGCTTTTCCAGACATCTTTCTGCTACAGCTCTGGATAACGTTCTCAAAGCACTCTTCTCACAAACAGATGTTGCGGCTCTTTGGCCCTCTGGAAGGTCGTCAGGCAAATTACCTTGAGCATTCCAAAGAGCTGTTGCCGTGGTCTTTGCTTACGACCAGCTTACTTCTGCCTTGACTGAACCATTTCCACCTCTTGGTAGCCATTGCTGTACATGTGCTTTGTATTCAGGATTGTACTGGGAAAGCCGTGTTTCATTTCCTCTTGAATTAGTGAAGAATTGCTCCAAGATCCTGATCCTACTTGTTTATAGTTCCCATTGAAAGCTTTTCTGTCATTTGCAGCTGATCTGGGAATGACAGTTTTGGTAACAAAGAGCAAGAAAAAATTTTTTTTTCACTTTACTTTTTCTGTCAGAACTGTGTGTGCTGAGCCAGTTGGAATGTCTATGGTGTTGGCTGTGGTTTCTGTTGTTAATCAGTGGTCCTCTTCAGTGACGGTGTGAACAAAAGCTTTTCCTCTAAACTGAAGTGGCCTTGGGCTTCATCTTCAACAATGCCTCATCCCTTCTTAAAATGAATTATCTGTTTGTAAACTGCTGATGTACTTAGAGCATTGTCCCTATGAACTTTATGTAAAGCATCAGTGATTTCACCATTCATCCACCCAAGCTTCACCATAGATCTGATGTTTGGTCTTGTTTCAATTCTAGCAGAACTCATGTTGCTCTGATAGGGTGCTATTTAAATTTATGTTTTACCTTTTCTAATTCCTCAAGTGAGACTCTGCTTACTCACATTATATCAAGTTAGTATGACTTCATTTTGATGCAAAAAGTTTTTGAATCCATGTGCAAATTTTTCATAATGAACATTTTCAATGTACTTTTTGAAGATGCATTTTATATTTTGTATTATTATATCCTCTTGTTGAATTGATTCATTTGTCTTATATAGTATTCTTTGTCTCTTTTTGGAGTTTTCAAGATAAGGCATATTTTGTCTCATATAAATATAACTACCTCTGATCCTTAATAACATTTGGAAGCCCCTTTTTGCTTCTTGATACTTAGTTCTTAACATTCTAAAATGCCTTTGTTTACCTGTCTTAGGTTGAGTTCCAAAGTAGCAGAGTGATACAGGGATTTGCGTGCAAGTAGTTTATATGGATTCAAAGTAGGGGAATAGAAAAGTGAGACAAGAAGAAAAAGATAGTATGGTGCAGTGGGTTAAGCTGCTGCCTAAGATGCTGGCATCCCATATGAGTCTGGTTCAAGTCCTGGTGGCTCCATTTCTGATCCAGCTCCCTGCTAATGTGCCTAGGAAAGCAGCAGAGGATGACATGGGTATTTGTGCCCCAACTAACCATGTGGAGACCCAGATGGAGTTTCAGGCTTCTGGCTTCGTCCTGGACCAACCCTGACCTTCCATGTCACCTGGGGAGTGAACGAGAGATTCTCCATCCACTGGTTCACTCTCCAGCTGGCTGCAATGGCCAGCACTGCACCAGGCCAAAACCAGGAGCCAGGAGCTTCATTCAGTTCTCCTACGTGGGTGGCAGAATTCCAGACTTCCAAACATGGGCCATCTTCCACTGCTTTCCCAGGGCATTGTCAGGGAGCTGCGTGAGAAGTGGAGCAGCCAGTAAATGAACCAGCAGCCATATGGGATGCTGGCATTACAGGCAGCAGCTTTACTGCTATGTCACAACGCAGGTCTAATGAATGAATAAATCTTTTTTTAACAAAAGAGAAGGAAAAGGTAGCAGGTAAAGGGTGAGTTACTAAGACAGTGCCCTCCTCACCCCACAGTGGGCAACTGGTACTTAATTCTATTGAAGAATAACTGGGACCCATTATAGAACACTTACCTCAGTAAGCTAAATTATTTATCCACTATATTCTTTATACTTGGTAGAGGGCTGCTCTTGAGGGGCAGATAGGAGCAGAGTAAGTTACAGTGACAGAAAGAGTCCTTAGGTAGGGAAATGGAGCTGCTGGTCCTTGGAAGCAAGAGGGTTTACACATGGGTGCTGCAGCATCCTCTGTCTTAGGCTTTTTTTTTTTTTTTTTTTTTTTTTTACAGGCAGAGTGGACAGTGAGAGAGAGAGAGAGACAGAGAGAAAGGTCTTCCTTTGCCATTGGTTCACCCTCCAATGGCCGCCATGGCCGGCACACCGCACTGATCCGAAGGCAGGAGCCAGGTACTTATCCTGGTCTCCTGTGCGGGTGCAGGACCCAAGGACTTGGGCCATCCTCCACTGCACTCCCTGGCCACAGCAGAGAGCTGGACTGGAAGAGGGGCAACCGGGACAGAATCCGGCGCCTCGACCGGGACTAGAACCCGGTGTGCCAGCGCCGCTAGGCGGAGGATTAGCCTAGTGAGCCGCGGCGCCGGCCTGTCTTAGGCTTCTGAGTGAGCATTATGGGTTTATGACAAGTGCACCATGACTTCTGGAGAAGACCCATGCCCAACATCGAGCAGCTATTCTTCAGTAAACTTCTAGTTCCATCTCCCTTTAAAAAGATGAGGAGAATCCCATTACTGTCTACTTATTTTAGTCTGTCTTTCAAAGTCACTTCAAGTACTTCTATGTCCAGCATTTTTTTAAAAAAGATTTTTGTTTATTTATTTGAGAGAGTTATAGACGGACAGTGAAAGAGAAAGAGTTTCTGTTTGCTTGCTCACTCCCCTGATGGCTTCAACAGCCAGGAGCTGGGCCATTCTGAAGCCAGGAGCCTGGAGCTTCTTCCTGGTCTTCCACGTGGGTGCAGGGGCCCAAGCACTTGGGCCATCTTCGACTGCTTTCTCAGGCTATAGCAGAGAGCTGGATCGGAAAAGGAGCAGTGATAATATGAACTAACACCCATGTGGGATGTTGCGTGCCGCAAGTGGAGGCTTAGCCTACTGTGCCGCAGTGCCGGGCCCCTATGTCCAGCATTTTTAATTCAGCACAGTCAACTACACCGAAGAGGATCACTCTTATGCAGCAAGCCTTGGTGACTCGTGCTGAGGATAACAGAAATAAATATTTGTTCTCAATCCAGGGGAGCTCCTAGTATACTGGGTGATTAATTATTGGCTGTCTCACCTAGAAATTCCTTTTCACAGATGAAACAGCTTAAAGTCAATCAGTTAACAAAAATCGTTTTTAAGTCCTTTAGAATTTGGTTTAAGCATACTTCACTTTCAGGCTGTCAGGGTAACTTGTTGGTGAGTGGTATTTGATGAAACAGTATTTAATCTCTCTGAGCCTCAGTTTCTGCAACTGTAAAGTGGGATTACTAATACCCAGTTCATGAAACTGTTTGAGGATTAAATGAGATAACCTTGAAAGATGGGGCTGCAATGGGGAGTAGAAATGACAGGTGGATGAATGAGGAGAGGATATTGGTTAGATCACTAAAATTATAGTAAGGCAGCAGAACAAAAGGAGAAAAAGCAGGTATGTTCTTGGGAGATGTTGAATTTCAAGCTAAAATAGGCCTTTGCCCTTTGCCACAGGGGCCGTGAAGTTTTAGTGCATCGTAGAGAGGCTAGGGTGTAAAGGGACTTCAGGGTAGGGCTGTACACTATTACAAAGTTTTTGGATGACATAGAACTAAACCTTTAGCGAACTTGACTTTCTGAACCACAAACCTACAAATGATAGATCCATACCTAGGACCACAGAGGCAGAGAACTTGTTTCTATGGGAACATAAGAACTGAGTCTATGGTGAGCAGGCTTGCTGCTCCAAGTTCCGATTCTTACAATATACCTTTTCTGAACTGGTTAGCTGCTGACCCCTCTTTAATGCCGGATGGAGAGGGTGAGCCTCAACAACACAGCAGTCTCTTAACTATAAGCAGATCTTGTGAGAAGGCTTCAGGGGCTCAGCAAGTTCTTTGTGTTTGCAGTGCAACCTGCTGGATTGGTGGGAATTAAAATGGGGAACGTCTGTGCTTTCCACTTGACTTCTTACATATGTTCTTTTGATCTTTTCTCTTAAGCTGCTCATGTTTCCCACCTGGAGAATGTGTCAGAGGAAGAAATGAACAGACTCCTGGGAATAGTGTTGGATGTGGAGTATCTCTTTACTTGTGTCCACAAGGAGGAAGATGCAGATACCAAGCAAGTTTACTTCTACCTATTTAAGGTGAGATTTTAACATTTTAAAAGGTTTTTCTTTTTTCTGTCGTTGTCCAATATCTTCGTTCTCTGTATGCTGGGTCGTGTCAGTGAGAGGTCTAGACTCACGGATTTTACCCCTGGGATTGCTGAAGCACACGTTTCTTCAGGGTGGGGGCTCTAAAATGAGCACACGCATCACTTTCCTTGAAAGCCTTCACACTTCCAGCGAAGTTGAATGTATTTTCTTTATGTAATGGAAAATTTGGTTGGTGTTATAGGCAAAACAATTTCAAGTTCAGAGAAGGCTCTGAAACAAGATCCAAAATATAATTTTAATTTCAGGAAGCAGTCGATGGTAAGCTTTATTACAGCACTCATGTCATGATTTACTGGTCTCTGCATAAATCTGCAATCTATATCATTTTTCTAGTTAAAAAAAACTGAATCTTTTCTTGCTGATTGTATTTTGAAGCATTTTGATGTTTTTGCATAGCTGAAGTAAATTTCTATAAACACACTTTTTTTAAAAGTTTGAAATACTTGCTCAAATATTAATAAAATGGGTATAATTTATGGTAAAGTTATTCATGAGGTAGATCTCTGGGCTCTGGGCTCTATACTTAACTAGACTTTTAGTTTTAATTTGTATTTACCCTTCTTCTGACTCCCAGAAGCATCAGATAAACCCCTGCCAAGATTGTAAGAGCCAACAGTTTTTTTCCTTGATATTTTATTGGATATTATAATCTATATTCTAAATATTTGCAAAAATCATGTGCAGTTACATCCTTCAGAAAAAGTGCTAGAAAATTAATTCCTGCTTTCTGCAAACATGAATATCTTTTTTAAAATTTATTTATTTGAAAAGCAGAAAGAGAGAGGGAGAGAGGGGAAGAGAGAGTATGAGAGATTTTCCATCTGCTAGTTCATTCCCCAAAGGGCCACAATGGTTGGAGCTGGGCCAGATGAAACTCGGGAGCCAAGAACTCCATCCAGGTCTCACACATGGGTTCAGGGACCCAAGTTCTTGGGTCTTCTTCCACTGCCTCACCTGGGATGCCAGCATGGCAGGCAGTGGCTTAACCCACTGTGCCACAACATATGTCCCAAAGTTGAATATCTTGATTTACATATGCTTATAGATTCCTTTCACCCAGTAGATATTTATTGCATACCTACCCTGCATGGCACTGATGTAGGCATGAGGGATAGAGAACACAGCAAAGTCTGCAAAATCTTTTTCTTCATGGAGTTTATATTGCAGTAGAAAAGGGAGGCAGTCAACAAGGGAAGAGCCAGCACACAGCTCCGCGCCAGATGAGCTTGATGTGGTATTGGAACAGCAAGGAGATGTGGTTGGATCCCAGTGAACAAGGGGGAAGGGGATGTGCCTCTGAGTCCTGTTTCTCTGCTTCAAGAGGAAGAATCAAGGCTTTGCAAATCTGTTTGGTGATTATTGCTACCAGAACTGCCTCTTCATGGTTCCGCATCAGCCACATTCAGGTCACATCCATTGCCTTCCAATAGTATCGGTCTCCTTAAGTTCTGATTACAGTCTGGAATAACCACTGTAAGAGGGAAATTGGCGATGAGAATGGGTAGAAAAATCTTCAGGTTGCCAAAAATAGATTCATAAAAGAGACGCCAGAAAGAATAGTAAAGAAAAAAACCTTGCTCTTGAGGGCATTGTACATTACGTAGTATTGTGTAACTCATACACAATGTTAAAAAACAAAACAACCCTCGGAGCTGAGCACCAGGAAAAGTTGACCCCTTTTCAGAGGTACTGTGCTTCATGTTTAAATGACAGGGAAAGCTGAAATTGCTGTTCCTTTTGCCTTGGCTGCTAGCTGTCTCAGTGCAAATTTCATGCCCTATACCTATAGCTTTTTTTTTTTCTTTATTTGAACTTGTTGATCCATAAGTTTCTCTTTTCCCTTCTTGTTATCAGTTTTAGTCTTCTGTACTGATGAGTTTTTTCAGATGGGTAGGACACAAGGAATGGGAGGAAGAATTATATATGTTTATATATTTTTGAATTTGGGGTATTATTAGGGATATTCATTAAAAAGGTGAGAGAGGGAAAGAATATGCAAATGAACAATTGAATTCCTTGCAGTTGTCAGCAGGCACTAGACTGCTCCGGGTGACAACTTGTTGACATGGCTGTGAGGCCTGAGTCATCCACGTTGAACCCTGGCAGGTTTGTACTATTTAGAGCTTCTTTGGAAAAAGATCTTAGTTGAAAAAAAAAAAAGATCTGCATGACTGCTGCTATTATTTGCCTTGGAACGGAGCTCCCTGGCAGCTCCCCACACCCTGTTGGAAGTGAAGGTGGTGTCAAGGTTTCCATCTTGTCAGCCTCCTCTTGTTTTAGGACCAGCCAGACAGGCCAGAGAAGTTTGCTTTGCTTTCAAGTACATTCTCCCTCCCTCCCTCCCTCCCTCCCTTCCTCCCTCCTTCCCTCCTTCCCTCCTTCCCTCCTTCCCTCCTTCCTCCTTCCCTCCTTTCCTCCTTTCCTCTCTTATTTACTTCCTTCTAAATAACAGTGCAAATATATTTGCTTGTGGAAACACAGTCCAAAATATTTAGCATTCCACATCCCCCTCACTGCCACCCCAAATCATTCTTTGAGCAAATGAGTTATAAATGAACTATCCCTTAGCTTTTGAAAGGCAGGTCCTGTGTTTCATATGTGTCAGAAATTAAAATGTGGTGTATATTTTGCTAGTATTTTACAAAAGCTTCGATCTTAGATATTGGGTATGAACCCAGTGGAAAGTTGCTTCCTAAAGCTGCTGTAGAACCTTAGTGCCTACAACTATGGCTCTGGAGTGGGACCACCTGGATCTAAAATCTGGGTCCATTTTTGACTAAATGTAACCTTTGGCAAGTTATTCTCTTTTGGTTTTCTTATCTATAAAGTACAGGTAAGAGCAACACCTTCTTTAAAAGGATGTTGGGAGTATTAAATGAGATAATAGAGTATCTGGCAAAAATGGGGATGCAGATGCTTGCTGCTGTTAATAAGAACTTTGTGTGCCTACCTATCCCAACTCCATCATTTTGTGGGTGAAGAAGCTGAGGTTGAACATCTCCCCAACTCATCAATTAACCTCCAAATGCAAGCTAACAGTGCGCTAGGTTACCAAATGGTCTTATTTTAACTATAGCCAAAACATAGGCAACCAGAATTATTGTTATTAAAGATTTTACATTTGATTTTTATATATATCCTTAGAAACATACATAATGATTCATCTTTATTGCAAATTTATTTTAGCAAATTTGGGCATAATGTATTGAAAGGCTTAACAAACGCTTCTTCCTCGTAATTTATATTGGCACCCTGAGAAGGATTTGAGGTCCCTGTAAGACACATCTCCAACCTCGAGAGTTTATTCATTTCTATTAACTCCTCAGAGTGATTGCTGTGTTCTGTTTCTACTGAAAAGGCAGTAAGTGGAAAAAAGAAAAGGAACAATGTAACTTAAATAAATAAACGTGTGACCATTTTGTAACCGACCCACATGTAAAGGTTGTAAGATTCTGAAATTAAAGAATTTCAACATCCAGATTTATTCTCAGCTTAGTCTTTTTGTGAGTTCCCTTTTCTCTCTGATATTTGCTCTTTGAAGGCTTTAAATTCCAGTGGCAGGAATTAAGAGCAGTGTTTTTGTTTTGTGGGCATAGAGATGCCAGAACACTTGGCCTGTGTTCTATGGACAGAGGGGAAATGAAAAAAGACCGCAACAGTGAACGTTGCCAATTGGGAGCCCTGCAGATTTCCTTCCCAAAGAGCCAGACACCTCCTCTCCCAGCCTCATTTGTGCAGAATGGAACTCAGTCTTTCAAGTGCTTCTAAGTAAGACCCTGCTGGGCTTCAGCACACCTGCGGTGCCCTAGATGGGCGTGTGCAAACTGTGTAGCGCTGCACATACACACACCAGGCCTCTGGGTGGGTGGGAAGCCGGAAACTGGGGAGAGGGGGAAAGTGAGTGGGCTAGCAAGGGACTGGCTACCACTCATACTTGCTCACGGGTGCCCAGAGCAAGAAAGTGTCTCATTCCTTATAACGCATGTTATGGACTCGAAGGCAGATTTGGGTTACCTGACAGTTATCTGTTTTATTGATTTAAGGAATTGTTATGTAGAATTAATAGAATATTATTATTAATTATTATTATTATTCCCTGTGTGTTGGGGGGGGTCAGAGGATGAAGGGAGATACCAGAAAGACATCAAGGTTTTTTTTTATTTAATGTTTTCTTTACAGCTCCTGAGAAAGTCTATTTTACAAAGAGGAAAGCCTGTGGTTGAAGGCTCCTTGGAGAAGAAACCCCCATTTGAAAAGCCTAGTATTGAGCAGGTAAAAAGATAATGAAAAGAAACGCTTTTTTTTTTTATTGGTTTAAGGCTGATGAAACCTTTTAATCTCTCTTTCTCATTTCTGCACATTCTCTGTCCTCAGAGATGTTCATTAAGTCTGTAGAAATCGTCTTGGGCCCTTTGGATCAGACGTGCATGCCTACTTTAAGGAATAGGCTAGTTTTCTTCTTTTAGGGTTGTTGTGTACTCAGAATTCACTGTATGTTTAGAGAAAACCTGTAGTTGGTAAGAACGTGTGAAATGTGCTTTTTCTTGTTGTTGCTGTTTTAAAATTAAGTCTTTGTCCTTTTGTTTGGCACTGCCTGAAAAAGCCTATTGACGTGAGGGAATTCAGTAGCAATGTGAAAAACATTCTAAGTCAAGCAAAAAGAGCAAAAAAGAAATGAGATTTTGTAACCAGAAATCTACTTCCTGCTACATTATGATTCCTGGAAAGGAGCCGTTTTATTCAGGGAATCTGTCCAAATGTATGGACTTGTTCCTATTAGCCATTGTCAGTATCTCTCATTATCATCACTTTTTAGCCTTTCATTGTTTGGCTAAATAACTGTCAAATACTTTGGACAGAATTTCTTGATGAGAGTGACTATAGATGATACAACACCAGAGTTCTCAATAAGAAATGCATTTTTATCTGTCAGTTTTCTGTAGAATAAGTTTTATTTTGCCTCCAAACTGTATTAAATAAGAATTCATTGTTCTTTTATTTGAAATTAGATGATATGAGAGTGATCTATGGAAAGGTTAAATAATTTACAGCTCTTTTTAAAAAAAAAAAAAACCCACATGATTTTGAATAATTCTGTTTCTTGGTAAGCTTGCTGAAACCAAGTGTTTAAATTTTAGTGGTGTAGTTATGTGGAAGGCATGATAGCAACCTTTGATTAAAATTTTTGTAATGTAAAAATGAGAACGACATTATATGTGAGCTACTGTGCAGATAGTGCAGCAGGAATTATTTTCAGTGCCTGAATTTGATTTTCTCTTTAAAGCTTGAGGATTGCAACAGGCCACAGATTCACAACTCACAGTCTCTCTGTCTTGTCACTTTCCACCACAGTGATCTGAGGCAAGATTCCCTCTGGGCATTGCTGTTTTCTCTTAGGGAAAATGAAGAGATTTTTATGAATAGAGAAGTGTCTGTTCTTTTGCTAATAACCACCAATGGTGCAGGCTGTGTGGGTGTTCAGAATTAGTATAGTTGCATAGCTGCGTGACTAAATTGCTTTCCCTCCTTTTAAGGGCGTGAATAACTTTGTACAGTACAAATTTAGTCACCTGCCATCAAAAGAAAGGCAAACAATAGTCGAGTTGGCCAAAATGTTCCTAAACCGCATCAACTATTGGCATCTGGAGGCACCATCTCAACGAAGACTGCGCTCTCCCAATGACGATATTTCTGGGTACAAAGAGAACTACACAAGGTAATGAGACGGCAAGTCCTTCTCCTTAGACCCCGTAGAACATGCTTCTAACATAAAATCGCGACTTGTTTCTTCACGAAGATTGCCTGGTTATAATGGTGACTGCATCAGTTGACAAAGAATGTCTATGTAATTTAACTGGCAAACCACTGCTCTTCATTCTTATCACAAAATTTTAGGGGCTCGGGGATCCAAATCTCCTAGAGCTTTACTGTTTAATATGACAGTCATTAAACACGTGTGGCTGTTGAGCCTCTGAAATGAGACCAGAGTTGAGATTTCTGTGGTGGAACAGCAACAGTAGCAACGACAAAGAGTCTACAATAGCTCATGACTAGTTTTCAAAAATATTGCTTTGCTTATAGAAATGGTGGTGTTTTGGATATATTAGATTAAATAAAAGATACTATAATCAATTTTACTTGTTTCTTTTTTCTTTTTCAATGTGGCCACCACACAGTTTAAAATTTTGATATACGACTACTTCAAAAAGTTCATTTAAAAAATCAGTTCGCTTTGGTGCAGTTTTTTTGAAATCCATGCAGATTGTTTTCATAATATAGCTTATTTTTTAAAGATTTATTTATTTATTTGAAAAGCAGAGATACAGAGAGGCAGAGGCAGAGAGAGAGAGAGAGAAAGAGAGAGAGAGGTCTTTCATCCACTGATTCATTCCCCATATGGCCACAGTGGCCGGAGCTGTGCCAATCTAAAGTCAGGAGACTGGAGCTTCCTCCGGGTCTCCCACATGGGTCAGGGGCCCAAGCACTTGGGGCCTTCGTCCATTGCTTTCTTAGGCCATAGCTGAGAGCTGGATTGGAAGTGGAGCAGCCAGGACTTGAACCGGCACCCATATAGGATGCCTGCACTGCAGGCAGCGGCTTTACCTGCTCCACCACAGTTCCGGCCCCCATAATATATATTTTCCATGAAGAATCCTTGTATGTGGCTTGCACTGCAGGGAGATTGGAGAAAAAGAGCGAGAGTGAGCTCTCAACTGCTGGTTCATTCGCTAAATGCTTGCAGTTTCTGGGGCTGGGCCAGGCAAGGCTGGGCTAGTATAAAGCTGGGAGCTGGGAAATCAATCTAGGTCTCACGTGTCAGTGGCAGAGACCCAAGTACTTGAGCCATCACCTGCTGCCTCCTCGGGTTCCATAAATGAAAGCTGGAATTAGGAGTGGAGCCAGGACTTGAATCCGTCATTTCAATGTGGGACACTGACCTCTCAGCCAACATCTTAATTGGGAGGCCAGTGCTTGCCTCTGTATGTCTACTGAACATCATTGACTAGATAACTGAATTGTAACTCTGCAATCAAGATATAGAGCCATAGCTTAAAAAAAAAAAAAAAAAAAAAAGCATTGACGACCATCATTATAATAATAGAGGCGAAAAGAATCTTTTTAAAGAAGGAAACATGGCCTTAGTCCCAACACCATGCCAAAATGATAGCATTATTAAAATATCTTCTCATTTTCCCCTTTAAAGAAATATTTTACATTACTTATAGTAGAAGATATAGAATTTTATATCCTTGTTGTTCTCTCACTTAACATCATAAGAAAAATCTCACAGTGTATTTTATGATCCATTGAGTTGATGATCCTAACTACCCTAACCATTTTCCTATTGGTAGATTTCCAAATTCTGCAAATATTTTTGGGTTGAACGTATATTTTTTTCTAAAGTTGGAATTTATGTTTGCTGCTGATAAACTGCAGAAAAGCAGAATTAATTTTCCAGATCTTAGGTATGGAATATACAGAATATAATGACCTACATTTACTTTAATTTACTTCAGAAAGTGACTAGTTACCTTATTTTTTTCTTTTCCCCACTTCTATTTTTGAGGCCTATCAAGCTTACTTCTGGGCATGTTCTGGAACGTGTGTGTGTGTGTGTGTGTGTGTGTGTGTATTTTTACTTCCCTGGCTTTTGGTATTCTGTCAAGACCACGTGTGCTCCGGTTACTTTCTGGAATAACAAATAATGTGGAGGAATGGGTATAATTTAAAACTAGTTTTTCTCTATGTCACTGACCTAATTTATGAATATCTTCTTTCCCTCCCTTTCTTCTTTCCCTCCCTTTCTACCTTTAAAAAACATACAGTTTGAGTTTTAGTTTCCTGTTAATAATTGATATTATAGGAATTATTAAATTATGTCTTCATTTTTACATCTTTTATTTCAGAGTTTTATATTAACAGTAGTTCACTGTTTTTGTAAGTCCTATTTATAATAAAAGTTGAAATAACAAATCTCTCAAAAATATGTGTTTTAACCCTATCTGTGAATGACTGACAAAGCTGAGTATTTGTCAAAGCTAAGCCCCTGAATATATTTACTACTCTTAACAGAGAAAATAATTGTCTCATCAGGAAAAAGGGAGAATTAAATGTGGATTGGCTTCGAAGTCATTACTGTCTTTAAGCAATAGAATAGAAATACGAGACAGCATTGGGGAATTACCAAGAAGTGGGTATGCTACAAATACTTACCGAGCAGTAAAAATAGAAATTGGGCTTTGAACAGGCACTGGGTTTGGACAGTGGCTCCATCTCTCCCTTGCTCTGAGCTTTTGTCACTTTTCCTCTCTGATGTTCGGTGTCTTCCTCTGTCAGCCCAAGAGGGCTGTGAGTGCTGCCTGGGAGCTCGTGCGTGGTGTCTGGCACACAGGCCAGGTGCTGGAGGGGGCTCCCGGACTTCCCTCCCACACGTGTTGCTCTCTAAAGCTCAGTTACTGCCAATGTGTGGCTGTTAAGCTGGAGCATTCGCTGTACAGCTGAATGAGCGTGTGATGATCCGAGTATCACTTTAGAAGCTAGGATAATAGGGAACAGAAAGACAGCGTAGCAAAGCATCCCAACAGCTGAAGGAGGAAGAGTGGAGTCAGACAGTGGTGATGGGAAGCCCGCTGAGAGAGACTGAAATGTATATGCCCTCAGGAGTTCTGAAACCTGCCAGTTTCCAGGTGGAATGGAGACCGCGAGCGCTGTGAATAATAGATAAGGACAGGACAGCCACCTCCCCTGCTGCCCCGTGTCACGCCAGGTTGATGAAGAAAGGGAAGTAGAGAGGAACAAGCTGTGAAGATGAGGAGAATCAGTAATCGTTTTAGATTGAAACCTCACTTCCCTGACACACGTGGGAATTTAAAAAACCATACAGCATCACAATGTGTCCCACTGAAGCTGACTCTCAAAAATGGGTGGTAATGCAGGCTGCAGACGCCAGCAGGCTGCATTTGGGTGTGCGAGAGAACCTCAGAACCGTGAGTGCTCGTTCTCCAACAGCTGGAGCACTTAGGGGAAGGAGGCGGGGAGCCTCTGCAGCACATCGGTGTGACAGTGGGGGTGACGTGGGATTCTTGCTGGAGAAGCCTGGACTCAGAAAGTGACTGTTAATTACAGAGCTAACCTGTGACGCCTTTTCCAACAAAACGTTAAAAACATGAACAGGCATTTACCCCAGCAGTTAAAACACCCACATCCCACTTTGGAATAATTGGGTTTGATTCCTGGCTCTGACTCCTGACTTCAGCTTCCTGCTAATGCAAACCCTGGGAGGCGGCAGCGGTGGCTCAGGTAACATGGGAAACCTGGATTGTGTTTCCAACTCAGTTTTGGCCTCTGCTCAGCTCTGGTCTTCGTGGGCATTTGGAGAGTAAACCAGCCGGTGGGAGCTCTCTCTGTCTTCTCTTTCTCTACCTCTGTCTTTCAAATGAATAGAAAACAACTTAAAAAGCAAACTGAACAGCAGAAATGCCTACTTACCTTCTCTGTTCTGAATAAAAGAAAAAGATAAATGTTCTTTTTAAAGTATGTGTTAACCAACACTTTATGTACTGTCAGCAATTACTGTGATTTTACAAAAAAAAAAAAAAAAGCTAGTCAAATATTTGGAAGTCCTCTGAATTTTTTTGATGGTATGCTGACATATTTCCAAGAAGAGATAACCTGCAAAGAAAGCGTCAGGGAAATCTGACTTCTTAATCTACATGTGACCAACAGGATTTGCTAAAGGAATGTGACAAAAAGCTAGTGTTAGATTTTGAATTGTGCAGAGCTTCAGAAAGTTAAAGATTACTCACTGCTGCAGTGAGAATTTTTCATAAGAATACAAAACAAGTTAAATATAATTGACCCAATTTTTGGAAACAGCTTTATGTAGTAGCAGGTAAAGCTGCTGCCTGCAGTGCTGCATCCCATATGGGCGTCGATTTGAGCCCCAGCTGCTCCACTTCCGATCCAGCTCTCTGCTGTGGCTTGGGAAAGCAGTAGAAGATGACCCAAGTTCTTGGACCCCTGCACCACGTGGGAGACCCAGAAGAAGCTTCTGGTTCCTGCCTTTGGATTGGCACAGGTCCAGCTGTTGTGGCCATCTGGGGAGTAAACCAGTGGATAGAAGACCTCCCCTTCCTTCTCTCTCTCTCTCTCTCTCTCTCTCTCTTGCTCTCTCGCTCTCTCTCTGCCTCTCTGTAACTATGACTTTCAAATAAATAAATAAATATTTAAAAAAAAAAGAGATATAGCCCCTTATTCCCTGCACTGAGAATCCATAATGAGGCATGTAGAAGTCTAGGACAGTATCTGTTAGGAAGCATGGTAAAATCGTGGGTTTGAAGATAGCAGACAGTGCTTCTACTCTGGACTCTAATGCAGGAGACGTAGCTTCTATTTTGGGATCCCGTATCTCTTATGCAAAATGCGTGGGATTCAAATTTCAGAATTTTTCAGATTTTTATAATATATGCTTAGATTTTTTTTTGGTTGAGTATCCCTAATCATAAAATAAAAAATCCCAAATGCACCAAAACCTTAGAGTTTTTTGAGCATTATGATTGTGCTCAAAGTTTTGGGTTTCAGCTTTTCCAATTAGGGATGCTTAACCTATACTTAGCCAGTCTTTAGTTCTGACGAGCTAGGAGAGGTCAGTTAATCCGCAAAACCACAGGATTTTCACTCCAGCAAGCAAATAGAACAACAAGGTCTGCATTCAGATTTTCCAAGTCTAATTCATATTTTAAGGGAACCAAGAGGGTTGCTAATCACCATGATGATGTAAAAAAAAAAAAATCCAAGAGCTTTATTTGGACAATCAGTAAATAGCCTAAAAATGCCAGCTCTATTCAGCATACAAATATGAAAGATCCATCATTTCACTTTCTAGGAGACATGCAATCATGAAATCAGAGTGTGTGGAGAGATATGGATGTCCATTTCTTCCTTTCTGTCTTATTACGTGCAATGACTGTGTCGGTTGAGCAAACTGTCACCAACCTGCTTTCCCCCACTCCACAATGTACACACATTGGCTTGGGCCTCCTTGTTTTATCTAATGCACACTTTACAGATTGTAACATAAGATTAATCTTGGAAGTCAAACCCCAAAATCGCAATTGATGTCTTAAAATAACTCTAAGAGAAAATGAATGGGAACCTATTATTTGACAAATTTTACTAGCTAATAATAATCTATGCTGTCTACCCTGAGAATAATGAATGACCTGTTAAGGACTTTGGGTAACATTTTATAATTTTGTGGTAATTTTTATAACCTATCATCTCATAGCAGAAGTAACATCAGTCTTAGAAGCCTCAGACATCTGTGGACTTCTTCAGAGTCTACATCTCTTTAGACTCTAAATTAGCACTGTCCAACTGATATATAATGTGAACCATGAGAATGTATTTTACTTTTTTTAAAATAAGTATTCCAAATCCTGTGTTTATTTTACACTTAACAACATCTAAATTTGATTTAGTTTTATTATTATTTTTTAAAGATTTATTTACTTATTTGAAAGGCAGAGTTACAGGGAGGCAGAGGCAGAGGCAGAGGCAGAGAGAGAGGCGGGGTGGGGGTGGGGTCTTCCATCTGCTGGTTCACTCCCCAAATGGCTGCAATGGCCAGAGCTGGGATGATCCGAAGCCAGGAGCCAGGAGCTTCTTCTGGGTCTCCCATGTGGGTGCAGGGACCCAAGGACTTGGACCATCTTCTATTGCTTTCCCAGGCCATAGCACAGAGCTGGATCAGAAGTGGAGTAGCCGGGACTTGAACTGGTGCCCATATAGGATGCTGGCACTGTAGGTGGTGACTTTACTTGTTGCGCCGGCCCCTATTTTATTTTCTTAAGAGACGGAGAGATAGGGAGAAAGAGAGCTCTTATTTGCTGGTTCACACCCCAAATGCCTAAAATGGATAGGACTGTGCTGACCTGATGTGGGGCACACTAATCCAGGTTTCTCAGGTGGGTGACAGGGACCCAACTACTTAGGTGAACACCTGCTGCGTCTCAGGGTACACATCAACAGGAAGCTGGAATTGGAAGTGGAGCTGGAAATTAAGCCTAGGCACTCCAATGAGGGATGCAGGCATCCCAACTAGAATCTTAACCGCTAGGCTAAATGCTGGCCTAGTTGCTAAATTTCATACAGCTAAAGCTAAATAGGGGCCATTGCTGCGGTACAGCAGGTTAAGCCCTGGCCTGTGGTACCACACTCCCAATTAGGCGCCAGTTTGAGTCTTGGCTGCTCCACTTCCAATCCAGCTCCCTGCCAATGTGCCTGGGAAAGCAAAGGAAGATGGCCCAAGTCCTGGGGACCCTGCACCCAAGTGGGAGACTTGGATGAAGCTCCTCTCTCCTAGCTTCAGCCTGGCCTAGCTCTGGTTGTGGCCATTTGGGGAACGAACTAAGATGGAAGAGTTCTCTGTTTCTCCTCTCTCTGTAACTCTTTCTTTAAAATAAATAAGTTAATCTTATCTTATTAATAAATCTTATCCTATTCTATTTTAAAAAAGTCAACTAAATGGAGTCCTACCAAGATAAAGTTATGTTTAATGGAAAATTACTTTTATGGCTTCTATTTAAAAATTAAATTTGAATTGATTAAACAGGATTAAAAATTAAGCTCAGTTATAGTAGCAACATTTCAGATATTCAGTAGAGCCTTGTGGCTAGGTGGCTGTTACACCAGCATGAATGCAGAGGATTTCCACCCTCAGTGGACGCTTTATTGAATGGCACTGACATAATCCTTAAATCTTCCAATGCAGAATCTGGACACATTTAGTCAGAGTCTTAGTCTTACAGATAGCTTTGAGGTAGCCTAAGTCTTATGAAATTGAACTTCTGGTTATTAAGGTTTGTGACTGATTGATTATCGTTTCATAATTAGTTACTTGAAAGCTGGCCTTCCTTCATCTACAAATAGTATAAATTTCATAGAGTGGGCACATCCAGAAATGATTATCTTTGAAGGTGTGAATTTCTCTGTGAAATACTTAGTGAATTACAAAATAAATGTACTTCTTAGGCTTTTCATTGTTTCTGTCTTGACAGGACCCAACATAACACTTAAGATGCTCTTTTAAGTATCATGGTTGGAAAATTTGACATTTGGGTGTAAATTATTAAGAGACAAAACTGAAAGAAGAAATAGAAATTGTAGCAAGGCTTTAAGGTTAATTTTCAACCCCGACAGATGAATTAATGGTGATGAAAGTTTTCTCCCCCCAAAGGAGAAGCACCACAGCAACCACAGCCACCTCTCTCACCAGTGCATCCCAGGGGAAATATTATGTAGTGCAGAAAGAGACACAATACAAATCCATAGGCATGAGGAAATGGAGATTATTCTAGGCTTCATAAAAGGATTCGAGTTCGGCCGTGCTATGGCTCACTAGGCTAATCCTCCGCCCGTGCGCTGGCACCCCAGGTTCTAGTCCCGGTTGGGGCACTGGTTCTGTCCCGGTTGCTCCTCTTCCAGTCCAGCTCTCTGCTGTGGCCCGCGAAGGCAGTGGAGGATGGCCCAAGTGCTTGGGCCCTGCACCTGCATAGGAGACCAGGAGGAAGCACCTGGCTCCTGGCTTCAGATCGTCACAGCACGCCGGCCGTAGCGGCCATTTGGGGGGTGAACCAATGGAAGGAAGACTTTTCTCTCAGTCTGTCTCTCTCACTGTCTAATCTGCCTGTCAAAAAAAAAAAAAAAAAAAGGCTTCAAGTTCATCGAGAGTGTCCTGTAACAGTTCGAACACATTCGAGAGTCCCCCTCAAATCCTGTGCCCCCGCTTTAAAAGGGACCAGAGTGCACATGGGGGTAGCAGTTTTAAGTTTTGGAAAATTGTCCTGTGTTACAAGATTTGGACCCTGGCGCCTCCCTCTGTGGATGCCACTGTTTAATCCATGTTGCTGGGTCATGGGATTTGTACATTGCCTCTCTGGGAGAACAGAAAGAAAGAGTGTTTTTTTTTTTTTAAAGATTTATTTGAAAGTCAGAATTACACAGAGAAAGGAGAGGCAGAGAGAGAGAGAGAGAGGTCTTCCATCCGCTGGTTCACTCCCCAGTTGACCGCAACGGTTGGAACTATGCCCATCCTCTTCTGGGTCTCCCACGTGGGTGCAGGGGCCCAAGGATTTGGGTCATCTTCTACTGCTATCCCAGGCCATAGCAGAGAGCTGAATCGGAAGAGGAGCAGCTGGGACTAGAACCGCGCCCATATGGGATGCCGTCACTTCAGGCCATGGCGTTAAGCCGCTGAGCCACAGCACCGGCCCTGAGGGTTGTTTTTGACTTTTCCTCCTATAGCTGCTTTTGTCTGAGTGAGCTTTCTCGATTGGATGACCTGTAGAGCCAGGGTCCCCTAGAACTGTGGCCAGATATGGGGAATCCCCTGCTCCCTCTGATCTGGGCCCTTCTTCTGCCTTGTGCGATGCTCAAGTGTGTTTCTGACTTTGAGACTGAGTCACTGAGAAGTGTACCTTGGCGACACACTTCCTGTGTTTTGACTGAGTTTTGAACAGTGAAGATCTTTATCTTCCCACCAAAGCTTTGGTGGTATGTAAGTGCCGTGTAGGCATTTTAAAGAAGCCTTAACATTTTCTCAGGTGGTAGAATCCTGATTTGTTCACAAAAGGGACTAATTCAGTGTCTCCTTTATTTTTTTCTTTTATCTAAATTACTGTTTGTGCGCCATAAACGTGAATGACATTATGCACTTTACAGACGATAACCTCATTTAGTGCTCACAGGAATCCAGTGAAGTAATTATTGTTGTTCCCATCTTACAGATAAGGAAGTGGAGACTGAGTAACATAATTGTATTTCCAAAGTTACGCAGCCACGTGGTGGCAGAGCAGGGATTTGATCACAGGGCTGTTTGGCTCTGGAACTGTGCGTGAAGCTGAAGAATGGGGTGGTTTCACAGAATTCCGTCCAGGCGGTATTGCGGGGTCATGTACCGTGACTCCCAAGGTGCAGGAGCTGGTGGTGATGTTGCTTGTCACCGAAGGCCTCATTTCCCGTGTGGGTTACTGGACTTGGATACTGCAGATGACCTGGGGTTTACAGGATGTTGATGGTGCTTATCTCCTCTTGTGGCAGGTGGCTGTGTTACTGCAATGTGCCACAGTTCTGTGACAGTCTACCTCGGTATGAAACCACCCAGGTGTTCGGGAGAACGTTGCTTCGCTCAGTCTTCACCGTTATGAGGAGACAACTGCTGGAACAAGCAAGACAGGAAAAAGACAAACTGCCTCTTGAGAAACGAACTCTGATCCTCACTCATTTCCCAAAGTAAGGGCGAGCTCTTGCTGGTCTTTGGCCCGGGACCTGTGGTTTTGCTAAATATGTGCCAAAATATGCATAAACAACAAAATTGGGAATGATAGGAGAAGCTTTCCACAAAGGAGGCAGAAAGGCCCTTCAGTTCCCTTTGTGAGTCTTCTTGGGTGTTTTCCAGTCTTCATTAGGTTGGCTTGATGTTGTCCACAGCCATTGCTCACTTTGCCCTACCTCCTTCTACCTCTGCTAATGTCTCTGAGCCTCATAGAATGGGGCAGTGCTTTGTTTTGTGTATCAGGTGCCAGGAAGTTAGAGGAGGAAGGAGAGAACATGTAGATACACTTTACCGCCTTTCAGAAGTGGTGCAAAGAACTCAAGAGGCTGTTTTTGTCCATTCCAGTTCTCCAACACTTCCTAAGTACCAGTGAACCTCTCTACCTCCCCAGTCTTTGGAATCCATGCTGAAAGAGCAGTGATGAACAGGACTAGAGGCTTCCTTCAGCCTGTCCTTTGTAACTCTTAATTTGTTGTATATTCTCGCTTCTTGGACTTCTGAGAGCTCCAAGACATAAATAATAATTTAAATCTTTTCCAATGAAAGAAATGTGTCAAAGCAATGGGAAGTTCCAGTACTGCGCCATTGGCCTTGGGAATGCATTTTCAGAGCTAAGAACCAAAACTTGATGCTGAAGGGCTGTCTGCTGCCTAGAAGGACTCCAGGTGCAGCTGATGGCTTGTCAACAGAGTGATGGTAGCAGGACACGAGTGAGACAGTTCATTTTGTGGTTGTCACGCCACCTCAATCAGCACTTCAGAGGGGGAGGTAGAAGGTTGAATTTGAGTAGGCTCTCTAGGTATGACATGGCTTTCCTTCCCCATGTCAGTGAGAAGTGCTGATACAGAGAATAGAAATTGAGAGAAAATTTATATTGTTTCATCAAGGACTGATGAAGTATTTTTTAGTTGAGAAACTAGATTTTTATTATTAAGATATACTTTAAGAGCCGGCGCCGTGGCTCAGTAGGCTAATCCTCCACCTTGCGGCGCCGGCACACCGGGTTCTAGTCCCGGTTGGGGCGCCGGATTCTGTCCCGGTTGCCCCTCTTCCAGGCCAGCTCTCTGCTATGGCCAGGGAGTGCAGTGGAGGATGGCCCAGGTGCTTGGGCCCTGCACCCCATGGGAGACCAGGAAAAGCACCTGGATCCTGGCTCCTGCCATCGGATCAGCGCAGTGCGCCGGCTGCAGCGGCGGCCATTGGAGGATGAACCAACGGCAAAGGAAGACCTTTCTCTCTCTGTCTCTCTCTCTCACTGTCCACTCTGCCTGTCAAAAAAAAAAAAAAAAAGATATACTTTAAGTTTTAAGCTTTTTATTCAGTGAGAAATGCATAGGAGAGTGAGGGCCCTATCTAAGAAAGAAAGGGAAATCTGGATTCATACTGAGTACCAGGAGCCAGCCACGTGGAGGAGCATGCAGGCCAGGAAGCATGGGGCAGGTGGCTTGAAGGTCACTTGCCCCAAAGGCACGAAGGCGCCGGGACAGTAAGCAGGTGCAGGGACAGCAAGCAGGCCCAGGGCAAAAGGGAAAGAGGCCAAAAAAGAGGATGGGCCCATCGTGTTCCAGGCCTTTACTCCACTTCCAAAGGGGAATGGTTAATTAACCGTATTGGCTGGTGGGCACACAGGTGTGGCCAGGTAGGGGCATGAGGTCACACAGGAGGCATGGTGAAGGCATGGTCTTGCAGCCCACAAACCTGATCAGTTTTATCCTGTATGCCTGCCTACAACATTCCCCTTTTAGAGACTCCATTCTCTTAATCTTAAGGGATGTTGAAGGGTGTCAAATCATCATGTCTTCTATAGCTGCTTCCTGCTTATGAAGGGCGTAGTGCAGGCCCTGCGTGACCTGGGTCTGGAAATCTCTGTCTGTCTATAAGATATGCTTTTGCATTACCCAATCCTGCCTTACAAAAACTGGTTTTAATTCATAAGAAGAAGTTAGGCCAAGACAATAACAGTAACAAAAATAGTTTTCTGATAGTGATTGAAAATCACTGGGCCGTTTAACCCAAATCCTAAAGTTTAGGTACAGGATAGCATGGATAATTTGAATGAGCTTCAGCTGAACACCCATTTTTTGCCTACATATCCTAGCATCCTGATTGTCAAATTTTTCTTAAGAGAACCAGCGCACAAGACTGAGGCATGATGTGGACATTTTAATGTCCTCTGAGAGGAGGATTCCAAAGCATTGTAGCTTTAGTTTGAACCCTAAAATGGGTTATGAATTCTGGGCATGCTCATGTATTTCAGTGGCATCCTTTTGACTTATCTAAGCTCTTCTCTTTAGAGATTAAGCCAGTTTTCATATTTATCTTTCTACTGCACTTGCCATATAAGCAGTGTTGTATGTTTTCAGATGATAGTTGCTATTCTGTCTCTAAGCCAAGGACCAAGGGGCAGAGGACCCCACTCCCTGCCCCCCCAGCACACACACCTGTTACGGTGCTTACAGAGAAATTCTAATGGTTTTGCAAAGTTACAATTTTTTTCATGGAAAATTCATTTTGGTTTTTGTAGATATTTGCTAATTATAGTGTGTTTTGTTCCTTCAGCCCATAGTTCTGGCATGCTTATGCTGTTGAGCTAAAAAATTAACACTGCTTTCTTTTCTTCTCTGTTACTAATGGTAGGGTAAAACTACCACCCACTTCTCCTTTTAAATCCCTTTTCACTGAATACGACAACATTTGAGGTGGTTGGGGATTTGTACCTAGAGTTTTGGCAGCAGAGTCACACATACTGAAGTCGGAGGTGCTGTTTGAGTCCAGGGTACCACTGTCAGAGAGAGCTTGAACCAGCTTCCCACTGCCCAGTAGTCTCTGCTTCCCAGATGTGTTCTCAGGACTTCCATCCCAATCTTCTCACACTGCCTTGTCTTCCACTTGCCTCTAATTTGTGTTTTTCCTCCTCCTGCCTATTTATAAGATTTTTTTAAGTTTCATACTTTGTTATAAAAATAATAAATGTGCATGTTGATGAAAATTGGCTTCACAGAGAAAGAGTGAAGAAAAGTACCACCTATAGCCTTTCTGCTCTACTAAAAGTAGTCTTTCAGTGCTTTAGATATTTCTGTTTTTCTCCATTGAAAGACAATCAGTAAGCCTAGGTGGGCTGTGAATATCTGGATTTCTAACAAGTTCTCCCTCAGTGATTTCTGTGGGCTCCCAAAACCTGAGATCCATTTGGTTTATAACGTGATGGGGGAAGTTAACATATTGTTTAATAACTGGATCCAGTTCTGACTCTACCATTAACTCGATGGGGAATTTGAACCAGTTATTTAACCTCTCTTTGTCTTAGGTTTTTCATCTGTATAAAAGGGGATAGTAATGTTCCTCTCTTATAGGGTCATTATAAAGATCAGGTAAGTTGAAATATATCAACCACTTACAACATTGCCTATCAATACTAAGAGCTATATATGTGTGTAATAAATTAAAATAAATTAATGTAACTCTTAGGGTTGACATGAGGATTCAGTAAGATGTTCCAGTTTTGCAGGGTCAAAAGAGGATACATTTATAGAAATGGATTTCTGTATTTCTATATCCTAGGGCTGCCCAACTGAGTCATTTAAGTTAATAATTTTCTAGCATATTTGATTTGAAGGTGATAGCCATAGATGATTAGTGCTTTTGTCCCTCTACTAATATTTTCATTTTTTCTTTTTAAATCTTACTATTGTTTTTATTATTATGTCTAGATTTCTATCCATGTTAGAAGAAGAAGTTTATAGTCAAAACTCTCCCATCTGGGATCAGGATTTTCTCTCAGCCTCTTCCAGAATCAGCCAACTAGGAATCCAAACAGGTAAATTTCTTTTTATATAAATCATAGAATAACCAGGAAAACCAACATGAAGTGTAGGTGTAGCTTGCTCTGCAGGTATTTTTATTTTTCACCAGGAAATTTAAGACTATCTCCAGCAAAAAGCAAACACTTTTGCATATCACCCATCTGCAGTTCTATTAATGAGGAGAAAACAGGTGCAGACCAAAATCTGAGTTATGTCTGTATTAGTGAGTATAGGTGCAGACCAAATGGTTAAAACAACAAAACTATAGTATTTGTTTAGCTTTCACATTACAATTTAATGGGTGGTATAAAGTCCCAGGCAGCTCAGCTCTGTAGTCAATGCTGGCTCTTTTCAAAGTCACTGATAGTCTCAGTTAATGGCTAAACATGCCCAGGAATCAAGTGACAGTCTGGCCTCTAACCTGTGATGTTTGTTTTGTACATGAAGTTACTACCAAGAGTAATGGGAGCAGAGGGAGTCCTGGGAGAATGGGAGGAAGGCAGTCCCACATCTCAGGCTGTGAAGTACTTCCTGCTGGGTCAGAGCATCCATTATTGTCCTGAATCAGCTCATGACATTAGTAGGCATTTTATAAAAAAACAGATGTCTTCTGGAGTAACAGTAACTTTAGAAAGAGGATCTGAATTGCTGCCTTTGATAGTAGGAAGACTCAGCAGAGAAGGTTGACAGGAAATACCAAAACAACAATTCATATCTGGCTAGGGGGAAAGACAAATTCTCAGTTTTGAAATCAGTAGCTTTTGGTAGAGCGCCAGTTCCATGTGTAATATGGGGGCTTGTGAATATTGCCTCTAGCAAAGTTCATTTTATTTTGGCTTTTAAAAAATTGGGGTTAAATTCCCCCCATTTTTTAATGTACTGTGAGTTTTGACAAATATTTTTGATAATGCAATAATTATCAGAATAAACTGCAAACAAATTCCCTTGTACCCATTGGTAGTCTATTCTTTGTCCTATCTCTAGCCTTGGTAACCACTAATCTTTGTGTAGATTTTACCTTTTCCAGTGTATCCTACGAATTGCATCATATGTACTTTTTGAATAGGATGGTTTTCATTTAGCATAATGTATTTGAGAAGATTTAAAAAATTTTATTTGGAGCTCATGTTTTGGGTATAAATATGATTAAATGTCTACAAAGCAGAGCACATAGGGAATGATATTTTATTTGGATCAAACCCTTTTTGATTTAACTCTTGTACCAAAATATGTCAAAAACGTCTCTGTGTCCATTTTTACTTTAGGTCATAACTCCATGTTTCTCTGGTCCAAATCCTGTGGTGCTTTGAGACCTAGCTGAGCCTATTACATCCTCCCTGCACACTTAAGTGATCAGCATTTACTGGATATATTTCTGTGGTCACTGGACACATCCTCTGCGTTGTTCTCTCTGTACCTGTGCTATTCATTTTGTCTTTGTCTTTGTCTTACCCAACTTTCAAATGTCATCTCTCTTGCAAACCCTTTCCTAATGTCTCCCATTCCCCTCAGCAAGAACTGGATCTCCTTTCTTTCAAGCCTTCACAAAACCTTGGATACGTTCTCTCCTTGGTTCTCAAACATGGCTGCGCAGTGGGGTCATCCATGGAGATTTGAAATATACTGATTTTTCTAAGGGCCATCCTGAGAGAGTGTAGTTGGCTGAGGGTGCATTGGGACTTTTACAAGCTCCTCAGGTGACTGTAATGTGCAGTAGCATTTGAGAACTGTTGTGGCATATGATAACTTACCTCCTGTTATCCTAGCCCCGTTTTTTCTGCATAGCTTTTCGATTTTTTAGAAACAAATTATTTATTTGATTTTTTGGAAAGGCAGAGAGAGTAAGAGGGAGAGATATCTTTCATTCATTAGTTTACTCCCCCAAATGCCCACAACAGCCAGTTATGGGCCAGAGCTGAATTCAGGATCCTGGAACTCAATCCGAGTCCCCCACATGGCTGCCAGGTACCTAAGTATTTGAGCCAACACCTGCTGCCTTCCAGGGTGCACATTAGCAGGAAGCTGGAATTGGAAGCAGGGCCAGGACTTAACCCAAGGACTCTGATATGGAATGCTCATGTCCCAAGCAGCAACTTAACTGCTGTGCAAAACACCACCCTATCTCCACATGTTTTCTCTTCTATGAATGCAACTCCTTGATGATCAGAGACTCAGTTTTGCCACAGTAATAGTAATAATTGATACTTTCATTAAATGCTTTTCTATGAAGTTTGCTTCATATTTTTATTAAAGATTTGCTTAAATTTATTTGAAAGGCAGAGTTACAGAGAGGCAAGAGAGAGAGAGAGAGAAAGAGAGTCTTCCATCTGCTGGTTCATTCCCCGATTAGCCACGATGGCTGGAGCTGCACCAATTCGAAGCCAGGAGCCAGGAGTTTCTTCTGGGTCCCCCACGGGGGTGCAGGGCCCAAGCACTTGGGCCATCTTCTACTGCTTTCCCAGGCCACAGCAGAGAGCTGGATTGGAAGTGGAGCAGCCGGGACTCAAACAGGTGCCCATATGGGACGCCAGCACTGCAGGCGGTGGCCTTACCCACTACACCACAGCGCCGGCCCCCCTAATTCATATTTTTAAGCCTTCTCACAAACTAGGAATTTGCAATTACATCCCCCTTACATGGTTGAGGAAATAGTCTCAGAGAGGAGCAACAAGTTGTCCAAGGACAAGCTTGAAAGTGATGGAGTTGGGTTGTACATCCAGGTTGGTCTAATTTGCAGCTTCTCTTCTCCATTGACAGCCAGAGTTTGCTACGTTGTCTCAGAGTGCATTGCCAATGTGCAGTGTGTACTTGTGGAAGGAATGAATGAAGAACACAGTTTCCTTCCCAGGGGGACACCAATGCTCTTCAGCAAGATCAACTTTGTTCCCTTGTTAAGGGTATCTGGAGAGGATTGCTGTGTGTGTGTGAAAACTCCCCTGGACCCTGGCCTGCTCAAAATCCTGGCAGTCCGCTCAATTTCTGGCCACACTGTTATCTGTTATAGTACAGGATGGAAAAGGCAGAGGTTGTCTCTGACCCTATGGGGATTGCGTGTTTATTTCTGTAGCTCAAGTACTCCCCAGTTAAGCTTGATTATACCTGAAGCTGTCAGAAGTGAGCTGCCATCTCTTCTTCTGCTGTAATTGCCATGTGTTCCCCCGGGGGGGAGGGGGGGAGAGTGAGATCATCTCCTTAATTGGCATGTCTGCGTTGTGATACCACTGGGGTAAATGACGTTCATAATGATTGCTCTGAAGTTGTGCAAGGTGCTAACACGGCTTCTGAATCAGCACAGCTGCTGCTTTGCTCAGAATCACTTCAGGGTACTTTGAAGTGCTGCAGGCCTGGATGCTGGAAAAAACACCCAACAGACTGCCACTTTAGCATAGGGGGATTTCAGAAAGTGTGTGGAAAAATGTAGTTAAAAGGTCATTTATCTTGTGCCAAAAAGCTTTGAGATCTGTGCATTTTTTAATGATATATGCTTACATTGTTGCATGGATTTTTTTTACATTGTTTTTTTGGTTTTTTTTTTTTTTTTGTATTTAATGAACATAAATTTCCAAAGTACAGCTTATGGATTACAATAGCTTCCTCCCCCCATACCTTCCCTCCCACCCACAACACTCCCCTCTCCACTCCCTCTCCCCTTCCCTTCACACCAAGATTAATTTTCAATTATCTTTATATACAGAGGATCAATTTAGCATATATTAAGTAAAGATTTCCACGTTTGTTGCATGGATTTTAGATTGTTTTTTGGCATCCAAAATAAACTTCTCTTTTAATTTCATTTTCCATGAATTTTTGGAAGCACCTGCATATATTCCTATTTTCTTTACACACCAACTGCTATTCAGTTAGAAGTGTTGTGGGTTGTGTCTCTGTCACTTGGATCGCTTGTGCCATCCCTTTCTTGCCTGCTGGGAATGTCCTCTGGAGACTGAACTGTGACAGCTGAGAAACTTCGGAAAATTTAACCTTGATAGAGTATTGTTGTATAATCTGTAGACTGTTCTCTGTTTTTGCCTCTGGTTTATTAACGTGGTTTAGAGGCATGTGATATTGGGCTGTCCCATTGTTGTTGTTATGGAGTTTAATCATTTGGTTAAGGTAATATTCACCAGTTTTCTTCACTTTTTTGGTTGTAATCAGAAAGTGTGTTTGTCGGCCGGCGCCGCGGCTCACTAGGCTAATCCTCCGCTTTGCGGCGCTGGCACACCGGGTTCTAGTCCCGGTCGGGGTGCCGGATTCTGTCCTGGTTGCCCCTCTTCCAGGCCAGCTCTCTGCTATGGCCCGGGAGTGCAGTGGAGGATGGCCCAAGTCCTTGGGCCCTGCACCCCATGGGAGACCAGGAGAAGCACCTGGCTCCTGCCATGGGATCAGCACGGTGCACTGGCCGCAGCGCGCTGGCCGCGGCAGCCATTGGAGGGTGAACCAACGGCAAAGGAAGACCTTTCTTTCTGTCTCTCTCACTGTCCACTCTGCCTGTCAAAAAAAATAAAAATAAAAAAAAAATAAAAGAAAGTGTGTTTGTGACTATGCAAATATCCTGTCTTTGTAAAAAATTATACTCAGAAGGGTTAGCTTACATGCATGAATCTCTCTGAATCAGTTACTAAATGATGATTGGCAAGTGGTGATTACAGAGAGGGGAGAGACAGAGACACAGAGGTCTTCCATACTCCGATTCACTCCCCAGATGGCCGCAATAGCCAGGGCTGAACTAGGCTGAAGTCAGGAACCAGGAACTTCATCTGGGTCTCCCACACGGGTGGCAGGGGCCCAAGTATATGGGCCATCTTCCTCTGCTTTGCTGAGGCCATTAGCAGGGGCTGGATTGGAAGTGAAACAGCCAGGACATGAACTGGAGTGTCACAGGTGGTGGCTTTGCCTGCTATGCCTCAATGCTGGCTCCAAGTGGTGATTTTTAAAGAAGATTTCTTTATTTGAAAGGCAGAGTTATATACAGAGAGGGAGAAACAGAGACGGGGACAGGGAGACAGATCTTCCGTCCTCAAATGACTGCAGTGACTGGGACTGGACTAGGTCAAAGCTAGGAAGCTGGAACTCCATCCAGGTCTCCCACATGGATGGCAGGAGCCCAACACTTGGCCATCTTCCACTACTTTTCCTAGGTACATTAGCAGTGAAATAGAGTGGAAATGGAGCAGCCAGGACTCAAAGCAGTGCTCATGTGGTATGCAAGCATTGCAGGTAGTGGCTTAATCCACTGCACCACAGTGCCAACTCATTGGTGATTTTTTTTAAACTACTTTCCACCATTTTTTTCCTTACTTGTTTGTTGGCATCTGTAAGAAAGAGCTTTGCCTTCTCCTTTTTTGTTTGTTATTTATTTGTTATCAATACAGACTCAGTATCCTTATTTTATACAATGAGTTATGATCCATTACTGTCTTTATTATCTTGATGCACTGTACTTTTTAAAAAAAGATTTATTTTATTTATTTGAAATAAATTATAGAGAGAGAAGGAAAGATAGGAAGAGCGAAGTCTTCCATCCACTGATTAACTCCCCAAGTGGCCACAATGGCCAGAGCTGGGCTAGGTCAAAGTTAGGAGCTAGGAGCTTCATCCCAGCCTCCCACGTGGGTGCAGGGGCCCAGCACTTGGGAAATTTTCCGGTGCTTTCTCAGGTGCATCAGTAGGGAGCCGGATCAGAAGTGGAACAGCTGAGACTCCAACCAGCACCCATAGGGGATGCAGACGCAGCTCAACCAATTATGCCAGAACTCTGGCCCCAGCCCTGTGACTTTTATTTTAAAGATGACTTCTTTGTGGTTTTGGGACAGGAATAGGATGGTCTCATGTGCTCTTGGTTCCTTGTACCTAAGAAAGAAATTATCTAATACCTTCTTTTCTTTCTCTTGGGTCAGTTATCAATCCGCCTCCTGTGGCCAGGACAGTTTCCTACAATTCAAATTCATCTTCCCTTGAGCAGCCGAATGGAGGGAGTAGCAGTCCTGCCTGCAAAGCTGCTTCTGGGCTAGAGGCAAACCCAGGTAAGCTTGTATAAGGAGACCAGAGAGGACTCTGACTTGCCCTAGGAGCTCCATTATTGAGGAGGGAGCAACTGAAGACTTAGACCAATTGCAGATTGTGCATGTCCAGGGTTTGAGAGGCATTAAGAGAGGGAGGGAAGATAGAGAACTTCGATCTACTGGTTACTCTGTAGATATCTTCAATGACTGGGGCTCATTCGGGTCAGGCTGAAACCAGGGGCTGGGAGTGCTGTGTAGGTCTCCTGTATTGGTTGGCAGGAACCCAATTACATGAGCCATCACTGTTTCCTCCAAGAGTGGCATTGGCAGGAAGCTGGAGTCAGGAGTTGGAGGCGAGTATTGAACTCAGGCACTTTGATGTGGGATCTGGGCATTTTAACAGATGTCTTAAAACTATCATAACTTATCATAGCCCACCCATTTGGTGTGTTGACTGATAGTTGGCTGATCTCAGCTAGTCTCACTCAATCTTGGCTGGGCTTGCTTGTGCGTCTACCCATTGAATGGAGCCTCTGTCCTGGGCTTAAACTAAAGCAACTCTGCTCCACGTATTTCTCACCATCCTCCTGGGGCCATTGGGCTACCCAAAATATGTCATTCTTTTTTTTTTTTTTTTAAGATTTACTAATTTATTTGAAAGGCAGAGTCACAGAGAGGAAGAGACAAAGAGGAGGGGGTCTTCCATCTGCTGGTTCATTTCCTAAATGGCCAAAGCAGCTGGAGCTGCACCCATCTGAAGCCAGGAACCAGGAGCTTCCTCCAGGTCGCCCATGTAGGTTCAGGAGCCCAAGGACTTGGGCCATCTTCCACTGCTTGTCAAGGCCATAGCAGAGAGCTGAGTCGGAAATGGCGCAGCTGGGACTTGAACTGGCACCCACATGGGATGCTGGCAATGCAGGCGGCAGCTTTATCTTCTTTGCCACAGTGCCGACCCCATATGTCATTCTTATAATGATGAGGGAAGCACCAGAGAGCAAGTAGAAATGTATAGTGTCTTACAGCCTGGACTTAGGACTGGTAAACCATCACTTCTACCTTGTTTCATCATCCAAAGTGAGTCACATGGTCAAACTGAGTCTTGGGTTAGAGAAATTGAGAAATGTAGTTTATTCCTTTTGCTTCAGGAAAAATCACTAGAAAGTCACATGGCAAAGAGTGTGGATATCATGAGGCCAAAGAAATTGGTCTTCAGTGTAATCTACCACACAGGCAAAAACATCTCTCAATCCTAGAAGCACTTCACAGTTGTAAGGCTTATATCAAACAGGCTTAATATCAAACAAATCTTAATTCTGATCAAATTATTTTTCATATCTGCATACATTTTATTTTCCAAAGTAGATTGTGTGGCTACTTATAATAGAGAGGATGTCTTCCTTCATTTTCTGTTATTATAACTGAATAAAAAGAATGGGTTATTTATAAAGAATAGAGTTCTATTTAGCCCCTGATGCTGGAGACTGAGATGTCCAAAGGTATGGAGACAGCATCTGGTGCTGGCCTTCTTGCTGCACCTGCATGGTGGAGGGCATCACAAAGTGAGAAACAGGAAACACGTAGCTCCCTTCTCTCTTCCTCTTCTTTTTTTTTTTTCCTTTTCAAATTTTTAGCTATTTTTGTTTTTGATTAGTTTTTACAGATTTAATATGATTTGTAGATAGAATTATAAGAAAATAATGCTATTCTCTCCATCCCCCTTTCTCCTACCCTCTTTCTTTTTCTTTTCTTTCTTTCTTTCTTTCTTTTTTTTTTTTTTTTTTTGATTTATTTATTTGTTTGAAAGGCAGAGTTAGAGAGGGAGGGAAGGAGAGAGAGAGAGATCTTCCATCTGTTGGTTCACGTTTCAAATGGCAGCAGTGGCTGGAGCTGGGCCAATCTGAAGCCAGGGCCAGGAGCTTCTTTGGGGTCTCCCATGTGGGTGCAGAGGCCTGAGTACTTGGACCATTTTCCTCTGCTATCCCAGGCGCATTAGCAGGGAGCTGGATTGGAAGTGGAGCTGCTGGGGCCCCCATATGGGATGTCCATGCTGCAGGTGGTGGCTTAACCTGCTACGCCACAGTGCTGGTCCCCTTTTCTCCCTTCCTTTCTCCCTTTCTTTCTTTCTTTCTTTGAAGATAACATTTTAAATTTATACTGCAGTAAAAAGGCTTAATGCCTCATCAAATAAGTTTAACAAGAAAAAAGACTATAGTTTAGTGGGAATATAGACAATAGCTATAAACAGTAGCTGAATGGAAAAATGACCATTTCACCCATATACAGTAAATCTTAAAGTCATCACAGATCCTTAAAGCTGTAGTAGTATAACATTCTTAACTATTGGTTTGACAAAGGTATAAAATAAAGTTCCACCAAACTATGTTTGCAGGAATACTGATACACACAGGTATTTCTTTCTTCCTTTTTTTTTTTTTTTTTTTTTAATTTTAGCTTCCACAAGCAGTATTTGTCTGTGTCTGACTTACTTCTCTCAACATGGTGTCCTCCAGTTGTGTCCATTTGGCTGCAAATGGTAGAATTTTCTTATTTTTTGTAGTTGAATAATATTCCTTTGTGTATATATGCCAAATTTTTCTTTATACACTCATCTGATGGTGGACTTCTTGGTTGAATTCAAATTTGACTATTGTGAATAGTGTTGCTATAAATGTGGTGGTACAGGTATTTCTTTCATTCATTCTGTTCAAGTCTGCTGGCTATATACCTAGTAGTGGGACTGCTGGATCATATGGCAAGTCTGTTTCTAGTTTTTAAAGAAATCTCCACACTGTTTTTCACAGTGACTATATTAATTACATTCCCACCAACAATGTATATGTGTTTCCCTTTCTCCACATCCTTGCCAACATTTGTTAATCTGTGTTTTGTATTTTAGCCTTTCTGACAGGGGCAAGGTAATACCTCATTGTGGTTTTGATTTGTATTTCCCTGATGGCTAGTGATTTTTGAGCATTTTTTCATATATTTATTGGCCATTTGTATTTCTTATATTAGAACTGTTTATGGGGTCTTTTGTCCATTTCTCAACTGGATTGGTTGTTTTTTGTTGTTGAGTTTTTAAGTTGCTGATGTACTTGGGATATTAATCTTTTGTTGGTTAGGTAGCTTGTAATTTTTTTTCCCCATTCTGTTAGATGTCTCTTCCATTGATCGTTTCCTTTGCTGTGCAAAAACTTCTGAGTTTAGTTTTACTTTTTTTTTTTTTTTTTTTTTTGACAGGCAGAGTGGACAGTGAGAGAGAGAGACAGAGAGAAAGGTCTTCCTTTGCCGTTGGTTCACCCTCCAATGGCCGCCGCGGCCGGCGCGCCGCAGCCGGCGCACCGCGCTAATCCGATGGCAGGAGCCAGGAGCCAGGTGCTTCTCCTGGTCTCCCATGGGGTGCAGGGCCCAAGCACCTGGGCCATCCTCCACTGCACTCCCTGGCCACAGCAGAGGGCTGGCCTGGAAGAGGGGCAACCGGGACAGAATCCGGCGCCCCGACCGGGACTAGAACCCGGTGTGCCGGCGCCGCAAGGCGGAGGATTAGCCTAGTGAGCCGCGGCGCCGGCCTAGTTTTACTTTTGTTGCCTGTGCTTTGAGGGTCTTGTCCTAGAAGTTGTCTCCTACACTGATGTCTTGGAGTGTTTTCCCTGCATTTTCTTTTAGCAACTTCATGGTCTCAGGTATTAAACTTAGGTCTTTGATCTGTCTTGAGTTGATATTTGTGTATGGTGAAAGGTGTGGATCTAATTTCATTCTTCTACATGTATACATCCAGCTTTGCCAGTCCCATTTGCTGAAGATACTAGCCTTACTCCACTGTATGGTCTGAACACTGTTTTCAAAAGTCAGTTGGCTGTTTGTACATGGATTAATTTCTGGGCTTTCTATTCTGTTCCATTGACTTATGTACTGGATTTTTATGCTGGTACTAAGCTTTTTTAATTACTGTTGCTCTGTAGTGTGCTTTGAAGTCACGTGTTGTGAAGCCTGCAGCTTGATTTTTTTTTTTTTTGGCTCGTGATCACTTTGGCTATTTGGGCTCTTTAGTGATTCCATACGAATTTTAGGATTCTTTTTTCTAATTCTGTAAAGAATGACATTGGCATTTTTTGATTTTGCTATATAATTTTTTTTAAAAATTTATTTAAGTTTATAAGTTTCATGTATTTCATATATATAGATTTAGGAACATAGTGAGACTTCCCACCCCACCCTTCTTCCCGCCCATGCTCCAACCCTTCTTTCTCCTCCCTCTCCCATTCCCACTCAATTTTTACAGAGATATACATTCAATTTACTTAGTGATCCTAAGACTAACCCTACACTAAATCAAAGAGTTCAACAAATAGTATGAGGAAAAAGCACTGTTCCTCAACAGAAGAGACAAGAGCTATAAACTATCATTGAATCTCAAAATGTCCATTTCATTCCTATTCATTACATTTTCGGTACTTTATTAGTTACCACAGATCAGGGAAAACATATGGTAGTTGGATAGGGATTGTGTTGCTTTAGGTAGTGTAGACATTTTAGTGACATTGATTCTTCCAAACCATGAGCAAGGAATAGCTTTTCATGTTTCTGTGTCCTTGATGATTTCTTTCATCCATGTTTGATAATTTTCATTGCAGCGATCTTTCACTTCTTTGGTTAAATTTATTCCTAAATATTAGATTTTTTATAGCTATTGTAAATGGGATTTCTTTCTTGATTTAATCATTAGCATGCAAAAAAACCTGCTTTTTTGTGTTTATTTTGTAAACTACAACTTTATTGAATTGGTTTATCAATTCTAACAGCTTTTTTGGTGGAGTGTTTAGGTTTTTCCATGTACAACATCGAGTCATCTGCAAACATGGATAATTTGACTTCCTCTTTTTCAATTTTAATGTCCTTTATTTCTTTCTTTTCCCTAATTGCTCTTTTTTTAAAGATTTATTTTTATTATTTATTTGAAAGACAGAGTTACAGAGAGAGGTAGAGACAGAGTGAGAGGTCTTCCATCCACTGGTTCACTCCTTGGATGGCCACAATGGCCAGAGCTGCACCAATCCAAAGCCAGGAGCCAGGAGCTTCTGCTGGGTCTCCCACGTGGGTGCAGGGTTCCAAGGACTTGGGCCATCTTCTACTGCTTTCCCAGGCCATAGTAGAGAGCTGGATCGGAAGAGGAGCAGCTGGGACTAGAACTGGCGCTCATATGGGATGCTGCAGGCTAGGGCTTTAACCCGCTGCGCCATAGCACCTGCAAATTGCTCTTTTTTTTTTTTTTTTTTTTTAATTAATTTATTTGAAAGAGTTATGGAGAGGTAGAGGCAGACAGAGAAAATCTTTCAACCGCTAGTTCACTCCCCGAATGGCATGAATGGCCGGAGCTGAGCTGATCCGAAGCCAAGAGCCAGGAGCTGCTTCTGGGCCTCCCACGTGGGTGCAGAAGTCAAAGGACTTGGGCCATCTTCTACTGCTTTCCCAGGCCATAGCAGAGAGCTGGATTGGAATTGGAGCAGCCGCGATTGGAACCAGTGCCCATATGGGATGTTGGCATTACACCACAGCACCAGCCCCCCCCAGTACTGATATACTTAACAATGATTAGAAGTAAATAAAAGCATGTTTTATCAAATTACCTCTTGAATTTTTAAAAAATTTTACAGTGACATACTTTATTTATTTTTAAAAAAATGTATTTATTTATTTATTTGAAAGGCAGAGTTAGAGAGTGAGAGAGGCAGAGAGAGAGAGAGAGGTCTTCCATCTGCTGGTTCACTCCCTAGATGGCCACAATGGCCAGAGCGGTGTCGAGCCAAAGCCAGGAGCCAGGAGCTTCCTCCGTGTCTCCCACACGAGTGCAGGGGCCCAAGAACTTAGGCCATCTTCCACTACCTTCCCAGGCCATAGTGGTGAGCTGGATCTGAAGTGGAGCAGTCAGGATTCTAACTGGCACCCACATATGGGATGCCAACACTGCAGGTGGTGGCTTTACTCACTGTGCCACAGAGCTGGGTCCCCTAATTGCTCTTGTTGAAACTTCGAGTACTCTATTGAAGAATAGTGATAAAAGTGTTCATCTTGTTCCAGATCTGAGGGGAAATGCTTTCAGCTTTTCACCATCCAGTATAATATGGACTATTGGTTTGTGTATATGAGCAAATTTTTTAAAACGTTTTTATTTAATGAATGTATTTTTTCATACACTTTTAGGAATAAAAGAAGTGTTAAAGAGGGAGAGAAGAGGATCTTGTATGAAGCACAGGATATTTAGCATGTGCCACATTCTTTCTCCTGTTCCGAGGGCGATCTCACTAATCAGTGCAGAAAGTCTTCCAGGAAGCTAGGATGCAGCGTCAGATGGTTTCTTATCATGAACTATTAGCAATCTATCAGTCTTGGAGCATATGACATATACATATTACAAAATAAATACTTTGTATCATTATTACTGGGCAGTCAGGGAATTTGAAGATTTATTGTTCAAAAGTCTGGAAATACTCTCATTGATCTCCAAAACTGACAACAAGAGAAAATATAAAAATACAGACTCAACAAAAGCCATTTAGCAAGTAATATGTAATGTTTCTGGAAGCATCTTCTATAGAAAAGATTCTGAATGTTGCTCGGTTCCTTTTTAACGAAAGATACTATTTTCTATGGAAATACGCTCAGTGAGATTCACACCTGAGGAATATATTAAATATATATTTAATTATTATTTAATAATTAAATTATATTAAAGTGGTTTTAGAGATTTATTTTTTATTTATCTGAAGGGGAGAGTGTTGGGGGAGACAGAGAGAGAGAAAGGAGAGAACCCTCCCTTATGTCAGTTCACTTCTAAAGTGCCAACGATAACTGGACCAGGCTTGGCTAAAGCCAGGGCCCAGATACACAATTCAGATATTTCACGTGACTGTCAGGATTCCAAATAGTTGAGCTGTCATTGCTGCCTCCAGGGTTTGTGTTGGCAGTCTGCTGGATTTGGGAGCCAAAAGTGGGTATCAAAGCCATGCACTCCAGATGTGGGATGTATCTTAACCAGATCATTTTGGGGTGGGTGTTCGGTCCAGAAGTTAAGTCACTTCTTGGAAGCCCACATCCCAAATCAAAATGCCTTGTTTAGAGTCTCTACTCTCTTTCCAGTGCAGCTTCCTACAAATGTACACCCTGGGAAGCAGTGGCTGATCGCTCAAGTACTTAGGTCTCTGCTACCCATGTGGAAGACCCAGGTTGAGTTCCAGGTTACTGGCTTTGGCATGACACAGCCCTGGCTGTTGGCATAAGGGAGTGAACCAGCAAATGATAGATTTCTCTCAGTCTCTTTTTGCCTTTCAAATAAACAGTGAAATACATAAATTTTTTAAAAATTTAATTTTAAAAGATTTATTTATTATTTGAAAGATTTATTTATTTATTTGAAAAGCAGTTACAGAGAGGTGGAGGCAGAGAGGGAGAGACAGAAAGGTCTGCCATCCGCTGGTTCACTTCCCAAATGGCTACAATGGCCGGAGCTGGGCCAATCCAAAGCCAGGAGACAGGAGCTTTCCCTGGGTCTCCCACGTACATGCAGGGGCCCAAGGACTTGGACCATCTTCTACTGCTTTCCCAGGCCATAGCAGAGAGCTGGATCAGAAGTGGAGCAACTGGAATGCGAACTGGCACCCATATGGGATGCCAGCACTGCAGACAGCAGCTTTACCTGCTATACCACAGTGCCGGCTGCTAAATAAATTTTTTAAAACAATTAATGGAAAATGGCATCAAAGGTTAAGCTTATTAAAAAAATAAAATGGATCATTTAGAAGTGAAAATTAAATTAATTCTCTATTTAATTTATTAAATATAAAGCAATTCACTAGTATTTTTCTAATATCTGACACATATATAACACAGATGCATAGACATGTAGACAAAAATATCAGTAAGGATCTAGAAGCCATAACAAGCTTGAGCTAATGGATGTATAGAGATCATGAATTCTCAAAATTACAAAATACACATTCTTTCCAAGAAGACACTGCCCTGCATAGTTATAAGCGCTGTTTTTATGATAGGCATTGAGCAAATCTCAAAATGTTTTGACATTTTAGTGTCATATGGATTATGTTCTCTGTCTACAAAGAACTGTATTAGAGATTCAAAACCAATGGTAACTAGAATCACTTCATTATGTTTGTCAGGAAGAAACATGTGTCTCAATAACTCACATATCAAAGTAAAAAATTATCGCAGGAAATAGAAAATATCCAAAATGGGCCTAGGGTTGGCAGTTATTGTGACCGCCTCCCTCCCTCTCCCTCCTTTTGTTAGGACCTTGGTAAAGGGAGGGTGACCTCCATACTTACCAATGCTATTAGAAAAGCAGTTGGATATATTAGCATGTGCTGTACATTTTTGTGTTTAAAACCATATTTTTTTCCTTTTATTTTTATTACCATAGGCGAAAAGAGGAAAATGAATGACTCTCATGTTCTGGAGGAGGCCAAGAAACCCCGAGTCATGGGGGATATTCCAATGGAATTAATCCATGAGGTGATGTCCACCATCACAGACCCTGCAGCAATGCTTGGACCAGAGGTCAGCAGGGTAAACCTGGGTAGTCAACTGGTAGGCCCCCTTCCACCCTCCTGGCTATTCCAGCTGTTGAAAATGGGTGTGGAAATGCTGGTGGTAGTGTGTTATGCTCCCTGGTTTGTATTTAACCTGGTGGTCCACGTGGGGAGGGCAGGAACATGTGAGGAAGAGGAAATTTCCCCTTGATGAATGTCATATCACAGGGCCACATACAGTTGAAGGCATCCTTCCAACCAACTTTTTTTTTTTTTAATTCATTTATTTGAAAGGCAGAGTTACAGAGAGAGGGGTAGGGGAGAAACAGAGACAGAGATCTTCTATCTGCTGGTTCACTCCTCAATTGGCTGTAAACCGCTGGGGCTGTGTCAGGCTGAAGCCAGGAGGCAGGAGTTTCCTCCATGCCTCCCATGTGGGCACAGGGACCCAAGGACTTGGGCTGTCCTCTGCTGCCCTCCCCAGTGCATCAGCAGGGAGCTGGACCAGAAGCGGAGCAGCTGGGGACTCCAGCTGGCTCACATGTAGGATGCAGGCGTCACAGGCGGCACCTCACCCTTCATGCCACAATGCCATTCCCTGACCCTAACTTTATCTTATGATGTTTCAAATCCTCTAAAGTGTTCTGATACTTCTGTGATAAAAAATCCAGACATGCTTCACCTGGGGTCAGCATTAGTTCACATAATACCACAGTTGCTTTTCCTGTTTCTGTATTTCTCCCTTTCTCTGGTGAACCATTTAGAACCATTTCAGAGTTAAAAGCAGAAGTTACACATTTTACCCCTAACACTTTTCACATGTATCCCATAAAAATAAGGCTATTCTCTTACATACCTACAATGCAGTTATGTATGGCTTTTAGAAAAATTTAGTGTGGTCACAATATTTTCTTCTCTTTTTTTAAAAAATACTTTCCATTTCAAAAAAGCTTTACATTTACAACAAAAGTTGTGAAGCTGTACAGAGCTCCTATGTACTCAACACCCAGCTTCCCCTATTATTAATATCTTATATTAATGTCTTTGTCACAATTTTAAAAAGCATATTGCTTCTCCTACTATTAGCATCTCATTTAATATATTTGAACTAGTGAACTGCAACAGCTTCCCTTGTTTTCATTCATCCAAACTCTCTCCTACCTTTCCCTGCCACTTCGAATCATTCTGTGTTCATGTGTGTTAACTTTCACACATACTTTAACTCCCACATATACTGTGTTCATACTTCGTTAACTCCCACATATCAGGGAGAATAGTGATATTTGTCTTTCTGTGTAATAAACATCGTGGAGCAGGTATCTCTTCGATACAATGATTTCATGTCTTTTGGATATATACCTAGTATTGGGATTGCTGCAACATATGGCAGTTCTATTTCTAGTTTTTAAGAAATCATCATGGGGCCAGCGTTGTGGTGTAGTGGGTTAAGCTGCCACCTGCTGTGCCAGCATCCCATATGGGCACCTGTTCGAGACCCGGCTGCTCCACTTCCCATCCAGCTCTCTGCTGTGGCCTGGGAAAGCAGTGAAAGAAGGCCCAAGTGCTTGGACCCCTGTACCCTGTGGGAGACCTGGAAGAAACTCCTGGATCCTGGCTCTGGATCAGCGCAGCTCTGGCCATTGCAGCAATTGGGGAGTGGATAGAAGACCTCTCTTTCTCTCTGCCTTTCCTTCTCTCTCTGTGTAACTCTGACTTTTAAAATAAATAAATAAAATCTTTAAAAAAAAAAAAAAAGAAATCACCATTATGTTTTCCATAGTGGCTATACCAAGTTATAGCCTCACTCATTGGGTATAAGAGTTCCCCTTTCTCTACATCCTCACCAGCATTTGTTAACTTTGTATTTTTTTGATAATAGCCAATAGGGGTGAGGTGATAACTCATTGTGGTTTTCTTTTTAATAGAAAGTTTTTACTTAATAAATATAAATTTCAAAAGTACAACTTTTGGATTACAGAGGTTCTTCCCCCCATAACCACCCTCCCATCCGCAACCATCCCATCTCCCACTTCCTCTCCCATCCCATTCTACATTAAGATTCATTTTTAATTATCTTTATATACAGAAGATCAACTTTATAGAAAGTAAATATTTCAGCAGTTTGCACCCACACAGACACACAAAGTATAAAGTACTGTTTGAAGACTAGTTTTACTGTTAATTTGCATAGTGCAACACTTTAAGGACAGAGGTCCTACATGGGGAGCAAGTGCACAGCGACTCCTGTTACTGATTTAATAATTGACACTCTTATTTATGATGTCAGTAATCACCCGAGGCTCTTGTCATGAGCTGCAAAGGCCATGGAAGCCTCTTGAGTTCACAAACTCCGACCTTATTTAGACAAGGCTATAATCAAAGTGGAAGTTCTCACCTCCCTTCAGAGAAAGGTACCTCCTTCTTTGATGGCCTGTTCTTTCTGCTGAGCTCTCACAGAGATCTTTCATGTAGGTCATTTTTTGCCATAGTGTCTTGGCTTTCCATGCCTGAGGAACTCTCATGGGCTTTTTAGCCAGATCTAAATGCCTTAAGGACTGATTCTGAGGCCAGAGTGCTGTTTATGGCATTTGTCATTCTATGAGTCTGCTGTGTATCCCGCTTCCCATGTTGGACCATTCTCTCCTTTTTAATTCTGTCAATTATTATTAGTGGACACTGGTCTTATTTATGTGATCCCTTTGACACTTAACCCTATCTTTATGATCAATTATGAACTTAAGCTGATCACTTTAACTAGTAAGATGGCATTGGTACCTGCCAACTCATTGTGGTTTTGATTTGCATTTCCCTGATGGCTAGTGACATTGAGTATTTTTTCATGTATTTCTTGGCCATTTGACTTTCTTCTTTTGAGGACTGTCTATTCAGGTCCTTAGCCAATTTTTTTTCTTTTTAAAGATTATTTATTTGAAAGCAGAGTTACAAATAGAGAGAGAAGGAGAGACAGAGAGAGATCTTCCATCCTCTGAGTCCCTCTCTATGTGGCCACAACAACCAGGGCTTGCCCAGGCTGAAGCCAGGAGCCAGAAGCCCCCTGTGGATCTCCCATCTGGCTGCAGGGGCCCAAGGACTTGGGCCATGTTCCCCTACTTTTCAAGGCACAGTAGTAGGAAGCTGGATCAGAAGCAGAGCAGCTGGTTCTTGAACTGCCACCCATATGGGATGGCCGCACTGCAGGCCTTTAACCCTTAACCCTTAACCCACAGCATCCTTGCACAGCACTGGCCTCCTTTGCCCATCTCTTAACTGGATTGGTTGCTTTTTTGTTGATGAGATTTTTAAATTGCTGATATATTTGGGATGTTAATCCTTCATTGGACAGGTGGCTCGCAAATATTTTTTTCCATTCTGTTGGATGTTTCTCCACTCTGTTGCTTGTTTACTTTGCTGTGCAAAAGCTTGCGAATGTAGTATAATCCCAGTTGTCTAGTTTTGCTCTTGGTGAATGTGCTTTGGGGATCTTATCCAAGAAATCATTGCCTACATCAATGTCTTGAAGTGTTTTCACTGTGTTGTTTTTTTTTTTTGCCTAGCAATTTCGTAGTTTCAGTTCCTACGTTTAGGTCTTTGATCCATCTTTAGCTGATGTTTTTATATTGTGAGAGGTAGGAATTCAATTACATTCTTGATGTGTATATCCATTTTTTCCATCACCATTTGTTGAAAAGACTATCCTTTCCCCAGTGTATGTTCTTGGCACCTTTGTCAAAAATCAATGAGCTGTATGTGCATGGATTCACTTCTGGGTTCCCTGTTCTGTCCCATTGATCTGTGTGCCAGTTTTTATGCCATGTTATTTTGATTACTACAACTTTTGAAAGTATGCTTTGAAATCAAGTACTATAATGCCCCTTGCTTTTATCTATTTGCTCAGGACTTTTTGACTACTCTGCATCTTTTGTGATTCCATATGAATTTTAGGGTTGTTTTGTCTAACTCTGTAAAGAATGTCATTTGTATTTTGATAGGGATTGCATTGAATATGCAGGTTGCTTTAGATAGCATGTACATTTTAATGATACTAATTTTTCCAATTCACAAACAAGCAACAAGTTTCCATGTTTCCTTGTCCTTGATACTCTTTGATCAGTGTTATAATTTTCACTGTAGACATCTTCTACTTTGGATAAATTTATTCCTAAATATTCTACATTACTTGTAGCTATTGTTAATGGGATTTCACCAGTATTTTATAATTTTAATTGTTGAAATCTTTCACTTCTGTAGATAAATTTACTCCCAAATATTTTAAATTTTTTGTAGCTATTGTGAATGGGATTTCTTTATTTCACTTTCAGCAAGATCATTATTGATATATAGAAATACTACTGTTTTTTGTATGTTGATTTTTATATCCTGTGATTTTACTGAATTGTTTTATCAGTTCTAATAGCTTTTTACTGAAGTGTTTAGGTTTTTCCATGTACAAAATTACATCAGCTGAAAGCATGGATATTTTGACTTCCTTCTTTCCAATTTCATTGCCCTGTATTTTTTTCTGTTCCCTAATTACTCTTGCTAAACTTTCTATTGAGATGGTTATATGATTTTTGTTTTCATTCTGTTGATGTGATTTATGATACTGATTTGTGAATGTTGAACGATCTTTGCATCGCAGAGATAAATCTCACTTGATCATAATATATGATCTTTTTGATATAGTGTTGGACTAGTTTGCTAATATTTGTTGAGAATTTTTGCACCTATGTTCTTCAGGGATATTGGGCTACAGTTTCATTTTTGTACTTTTGTCTTTGGTTTTGATATCAGAGTAATGTTGGCCTCATTAAAAGAATTTGGCAGAGGGGCTGGTGTTGTGGCACAGCAGGTTAAGCTGAGACTTGTGATGCTGGCATATGGTATCAGAATGCTGGTTTCTATGTTGGCTGCTCCAGTTCCAATACAGCTTAATACTAATGCTCCTGGGAAGGCAGTGAATATGACTCACTGCCACTCATGTGGGAGACACAGATGGAGTTCTTGGCTTCTGGCTTCTGCCTGGATGTT